CTCTGATACATATAAATAAAATAAAATTATAGTTATTAAATTATAAAAATTTGTTAAAATGTATATTTTCCATTAATACATATACTCTTTAAATGCATTCTTTTACTCAGTCTTAAAGGGATGCATTTAGAGAGGTCTGATTGTATCAATTTTATATGCTTATTTGACTGAATTAATATCAAATTGAGACCAATTTTAAGCTGATTTATGATTATTTAAGTTCTGAATTGATGCTGAATGATGCTATATTGAGGTCAATTTTAGGCTTATTTATGGTTGAATTTAAGTTTTGAATTGATGCAAAATGGCTATGTCTGATTGAAGTTGATCAACATCTATCAGCATCTGAATTATTACTGAATTGAGACTAATTTTAAGCTGATTTATGATTGAATTTAAGTTCTGAATTAATGCTGAATAGTCATGTCTGATTAAAGTCAATCAGCGTCTATTGACACCTATTTATGCTAATCAGAAAATATAACAAATTAGCCATAAATAGTATTAAAATCAACCTAAAATTAGCCATCTGATTTTTAGTTAATTTGGATTATTTCAATCAGTATAATTAATATATAAAGTCAAATTTTTTATTATTTCTTAAAAATATAATTTTTTAAACTTTATTTTAAATAATAAATTTTTTATAAATATTTCATTAAAATTTAATTATATTATAATTTACTGTATATAAAATTTTATAATATTTATTATTATTTTAATTTTTATTAATATTCAAGATAATTTTTTAATTATTATAAAATTTTATAATTATATTTTTAATAAAAAATAATTTATTCATTATATATGTATAATATTATTTTTTCACTTTTATCATTTGTATTATATTTTTATTTTTATTTTTATATAAATTCTGAAGACTTAAAAATTTTTAATTATAAAAAATCTAATTTTTATATTTTATATTAAATATCACATATTTTAATTTTGCCTAGTATTATATAATTTTACTTAGAAGTGATATATTATATATATAATAAATAAATTTACTTTTTTAATAATTTTTAAATTTAAAAAATTTATTTACTATAATTAACTATTTTTTTAATTAATTATAATAATATTTTAAATTTAAATTTAAATTTCTTTAAATTAATAGAAGTTTTATAAATAAATTTTCTTCTAATAAATTTTTATAAAAAATTAAATTAATTTTATAAATATATATATTATATTATAATAATTTTTATTTTTTGATAATATTAAAATTAATTAAATTATTAATAAATAATATTTATCAAAATACAATTTAATTAGTAATTTATCAATTTATGTTAAAGTAGTTATTTATTAAAAATTTATAATTTTAAAAAATTTTATTATAAAGAATAACTTTAATTATTACAATTTTATAATTTATTAAAAATTTTTGACAGTTGGTTAAAAAATTTAGAGGAATTACTGTTAAGTTAAAATAAAATAAAAAGATTTTTTATTTCAAGAATATTTAATTTACTATCTAATATTTGAAATCTTAGATAATAAATTTTTAAAACTTAAATTTTAAATTGAATTATTTTAAAAAACTTCTTAATAAACTTAAATAAAGTTGATAAAATATATGTTAAACTATATTTTTTATATAATAATTATATTATTAAAATTAAATTTTATATATTATTAAGAAATTATTACCTTTTTTTATATTTGAAGATAAATTATTTACTTTATAGTTTAAGAAATAATAATTTTAATCTTATAATAATTTGTTAAAAATATATATATATGATTATAAAAAAAATTTTATATAATATATTTATAGATAAAATTATTATAGATAAATGTAATTGTAATTTAATAATATATAATAAAAAAAAAAATTCTATTAAATAGTTAATTTTATTTAGTTCAACAAAAAATAAATTTATTTTTTTATTAGATAAAACTTTTATTAATATATGAATTAATAAAATATTTTATTTTTTTATGAAATTTATTTTACAAAAACTTTAATTTATAATAAATATTTTTTATAATAGAACTGTTTATAATAAAATGGTATAAATTAATTTTTTTTAAAAGGACGCCCTTAAAAAAAAAATAATTTAATATTTTGATTACTTAGTAATTACTCTTTAAATATGCATAAGTGTAGATTGATCATCATTGATACGTACTACGCCTCGTCACACGACGATCTACATGAAAAACGTAATTTGCCCAAATAAATACGCGTTAAATTATGTAATTTTCTTTTATAGTACATAGTGTGATGTTACAAGTAATTCTTTACACAATTTTGAATTTATGCAAATTTGTCTCTATATGATTAATTTATTTCTCTTACAGGAAGTTACTTGTATTGGTTTTTGAATTTTTTTTTTTCTTCAGCTTTTTAAATTAAGAAACAACCATGGATCAATATTCAAATTATGAGGGTCAACAAGATCCTTCATCAGGAAGTTATAGTTCGTATCCATGTAGGTTTACAGCGTTTATTAAATATTAAATCTAACTTAAAGTCGTTTCTTGTAAAAAGTTAAATACAAATTCTAGAAAATAACATCTAGCGTTGTATTTAATTTTTGACAGTAAATTCCAATAGGGAATAAAACTGTATCAATATTCGAGCGTAGTTTTATTTATTGTTTGACATCGATGTAATAGCAAGTATGCATTACATACCTTGTCCTCTCTTTCAAAATATCTTGTGAAGTTTATATGAACTATTTCTAATATATATATATATATTTGTATATATTTTTTATAGATGCCGAATCCTATAATCAAGGTGGGTATACAACAGCTCCAACCAACAGCTCTTCAGATTATTATTACGGAAGTAATCCTCCAGCAGGAGGTAACAACAGCAGTAGCAGTAGTTCAAATACTCAGCAACAACCTCCAGCAACGACACAAGGTTACGCTTCTCAACGTAATGATAGTTATGAAGGGAGTGGCTATTCTTCCGGATATAATAATAGTTACGGAAGTTATCCTGCACCGACTACATCTGGAAGCTATCAAGCAGGTCAAAGTTCATCAGCAGGAAGTTCTACGGCCACAGCATATAATTCTGGTAGTGGTTCATATGGCAGTGGAGGTAATAAAACAGGAGGATATGGCGATCGTAGTAGTGATTATGGTGATTCCTCTGGTTATGGAGGTAATAAAAATCCGTATGGTGATAGTTATGGCTACAAGCCTCGAGAAAATGGTAGAGAAGGTGGATATAGCGATCCTCCATCAAAAGAAGGCGGTTCTTATGACAGTTACGGAAGCCGTTCTGACGGTGGCTATAAGGGTTAGATTTCTTTTCCAAATTGCTTTTTATTACTTCAAGATCTCGTTTGCCTTCTCATTCTAGTTTACTATTATTATGCGGAATAAACATCCGTAATATTAGATAATTATGTGGATGATTCTGTTGTGCAAACAATTAGCGACACGATCTACATTTCGAATCTAAGCAAAGACGTTACTGAAGAGAAGTTGGCGGAAAAATTCGGTAGCCTTGGCATGTTAAAAATAGACAGAAAGACACAAAAGCCAAAAAGTAAGATTATTAAAATCAATATAAGATGTAAAGCTTTAAATTCAATGTATAAACTAATAAATAAATAATAAATAAATTTATTTTTACAGTATGGATATATTATAATAAAGATACCGGACTTCCTAAGGGAGATGCAACTATAACTTATGAAGACGCCGACTCAACAGCAGCTGCTATCAAATATTTCGATAACCAAAAGTTCCTTGATCAGGTTCGAATATTAAATTTACTCCATAAAGAATTATATTAATAAATATAAGTAATTTGCTAATTTAATATATTTAAAAAATCTCTTAAGGTTATAAAAGTAGAGATGTCTGTGCGAAAGATATCAACCTCAGGATTTAGAGCTCGTGCTAGAGGAAGTAGAGGACGTGTATTTACCAGGGGCAGTCGAGGTGGCCCTCCTCCCCGTGATGGTGATTGGGCATGTGAATCGTAAGCATTTGCATCCACTGTAGAAATCTATCTAACAAATTATTTAATGGTTTTTGACGGTTTTATTTCGGAAATTAGATGTAATGCAAATAATTTCGCTAGACGTATGGAATGTTACAAATGTCATACACCTCGTTCTAATGCACCAGGGGAAGGCGGTTACGGTGGAGGTCGATATTCCGGAGCACCTAGAGGTGGGTATAGAGGACGTCGTGGCGGCACTCCTTATGGTAGTGGTAGTGGTCGTTATGGTGATGACGATAGAGGCTATGGAGGCGGAGGCTATCGCAACAGCGATAGCTCACATGGTTATGATCAAGGATACGGGAGACAGAACAAACAAGACGATCGTCAAGATCGCAGGGATAATTCGAGATATCGTCCTTATTAAGATATCTGAGGATTTTTACAGGCTCACAACCTCATTATTGAATGCATGCTTTGTTTTTTTTTTTCTTTCTTTTACGAGTCATGAGAGTCGATCATGATTTTCATGACACGATGTTGATTATGGTGATTGAAATTCGTTGGGATCAAACATTCATATATTATTTGAGATAATGAGTAAAATTGAGAAGAGAAAAGGTCAAAAAAGGAAAATGTACAAAAATTCCTTTTGAAAAAATTTGTTTTATACGAGAACATAAATTGTGTATGGTTATATAATATTATTATATTAGGTAGGTATAAGATGGATTCTCAATTCCAAGGAGAATGTTCATAAAATATCAAGAAAAAATTTAGGAAATTAATATCTATTAGCGTGAATGGTTAAAGAATTAGTTTCGGGTAGGTATTTAAGGTTATATAAATATAAAGGATCTCCTGGGGAAAAAAAAAATTGCTATTTTTGATGTGTATAAAGAATTTTGAAAAAAAAAAAAAAAAAAAAAAAAAAAAAAAGAGGCACAAAAATTATATTTAAACGGAAGAAATCGATTATTTATTTAAAGATATTGGATTAAAAAGTCATAACTTATATCACATCACATTGATGCACCCCTAAATGTCTTTTAAAAAGGTTATAATCGGTTATTTAAATGCATATGTACTCTCCAGATGAATGAAAGAATTAGATATATCTTCAAATCTGATATTGTATTATTTATCCATAAAATAAATATTTAGTTAATTTTACTCTGAGTCATATCTTGGAAAATTACCTAATTCGGAATGTGCTCAACGTGAAGTTTCACGAACAAACAAACACGTTCAAAGTTATGTTAATGATCCGATCCATCCGATCTCGGTCCGGTTTTTATTGATCATGAAATATGAAATATTCATTCATCGTGTTACAAATATTCGAAAAACCAACGCCTGGCTTTTCCTTTACTAGATGTAGTTGGTTATTGGCTCATTAAAATCTTTTTTTCACGTTCTTTCAAAATCTGCTCATCCTTCGTTCACTTAATGCTTAATTTTAAAGACTTGTCGCGAAGACCTCATGATAAGTTAGGATTATGGCGTACAGAATTACATCACAACTATACGAGAAAATTAAGCATTTCGCACGTTTCCCTCCAACGGGCGTGTCGTTGAGACAGATGGTCATGTTCGGTGCGCGTCAAATTTTTTTTGAATACTCTGTTTATCTTAAAACATTGTAAATCAAGTTCACTTATTCTTTATTACAGGTCAAAATCCTTCTCAAGGAACTTTGTTAAGAGCAACTCAATTTCTGGCAGGTAATGCTTTTCGTTTATTTAAATATCGCGCTTGATTAATGTAAAACTTCGAATTGAAATGTTAACGTCTTTTAAATTTTTTTTTTAAAGATGAATTACCAATTCGCATTGCACATCGTGTTAAGGAATTAGATAATTTACCACATAATTTGAGTGAAATGCCATCAATTATCAAAGTCAAAAATTGGTATGCTCAGTCTTTTGAGGTATGAAGTTTATAAGAATGGAGTACTTTGCGGATTGAACTTTTTTCACATAAACTTGTACCATTCATTAGGATCTAGTCAATTTTCCAAAACCCGAGCTTCCACCGATTATAAGGGAGAAACTTTCTGCAAATTCTGCTGAACAAACAAAGTTACCTGATAATGTGCCAAACTTTTCAATAAATTTGACCAATTCAGGAAAATTAAAACCTTCTGTACCAATTGGTCATAGGTATCTGATTTAATCTTGAAATATTGTTATCTTATTATGGTAATAATACACGAGTTCTAATTACGCGTATTTTTGATTGATTTTAGATATTATTCAAATATTGACGATCTAGATTGGCCGCCTGAAGTTCGTTATTATAACGAAAAATTTACAAAATTGATTGAAGCAATCAAACGACGTCATGATCCTGTTGTAACCACAGTGGTATGTGATTAATGTGGATTTATGCAAGCGCTTTAAACGTTTTTACTCACACCCTAGTATTAACATTTTAGGGTAAGGCGCGTCCGCAAATTTTTTTTTTTTTATTCATCTTTATATATAAAGATAATAAATATATATTTTTTCAATCAATATAAACACATACATATTTGATTTCGTTATGAATTTAAGCTCAGGGAATTTTAGAATACAAGCAGCATAAGAAATCAGCCGTCATTGATACAGACATTCAAGCATTTTTAGATCGTTTTTATATGTCACGCATTGGGATTCGTATGCTAATTGGTTAGTATGCATAAATTTTTAAATTTCAAGAAACGGAATGTTTCATTATTATTATTTTTTTTTTTTTTAACTGAGCGTAATTTGCTAAAATTGCAGACTATTTTTAGGTCAACACGTTGCGCTTAATCGTCTTCCATCAAGATCAGATTATGTAGGGATTATATGTACCAAAACTAACATTGCGCAAACTGTACAAGATGCGGCGGATAATGCCAGGTTCATCTGTGAAGAATATTATGGACTCTTTCGTGCACCTGAAATTCAGACATTTTGTCCACCTGATTTAATTTTTACTTACGTTCCCACACATTTGAGCCATATGTTATTTGAATTATTAAAAAATAGTTTGCGTGCCGTAGTAGAATTGTTTGGCGATGACGTAGACGAATATCCTCCAATTAGAGTAATTGTAGCCGAAGGAAAAGAGGATATCACAATCAAAATATCGGATGAGGGTGGCGGTATACCAAGAAGCAATATCCCTTTGGTATGGACTTACATGTACACGACAGCAGAAGTACAGAAATTGGATCCAGATTTCATCGATTCAGATTTCAAAGCTCCAATGGCAGGTTTTGGCTATGGACTACCCATTAGTAGACTGGTAATAATTATTATTATACATAATTTTTTTTTTTTTTTTGTAAGTAAATAAATTTTAAATCAATAAACTTTTCAACAGTATGCTAGATATTTTGGTGGTGATTTGAAGTTAATTTCAATGGAAGGGTAAGGTTTTTTTATTTAAAAATATCAATTTTTTTTTTTTTTTTTTTTTTTTTGAAATTCATTTTACATTTATTTGACTTCTTTACATGATAGGTTTGGAACGGATGTATATCTTCATCTAAACCGAATCTCCAATAGTGATGAACCTCTTCATTAATAACATTGTGAACATGAAGATTGCGGACCTGAGTTTAATGCTAAGATAGAATAATATTAAAATATAGATCTCCTTTCTTAAGGATCGTTGACAACGAACAAAAGAAATTTGGTTCGTTTACGCGTGTTGTTAAATTAACACGTAATTCGTGCAATGTTACACGAAATAACTAAATTAATAATATATTTTATAATGTATGCGTGATTTCTCGATGATTGTATTTTTATAAATACTGATATCAACAATGGTGATATTAATTAAGCTCTCATTAAAAGTTTAGATTGTTTTCGCGTATACTACCACTAATCATATACTATAAAACCGCATGAACTATAATTAATTCGTTATATGCTATTAAATATATTACAATTTTTTTTTTTTTTTTTAAAAAAAAAAAAGAAAAAAAAAGTTTTTGCTTTTTAACAAATAGAAATGAATGTTGCAAAAGTATATATAACACATTATCATACTTGTAATGAATTGAATTGATCTAAAAAAAAATTAAAAATATAATATAAATTGTAATAAAAATGTTCTTTCCATTTGAAGATCGCGCCAAATAAATAATTATTTAGATTTTTACACACATTATTTGATTTCAAATTAAGCTGTCATTCCAGATTTTTCTAATAAATTTCCACTTGCAATTTCATTAGATGAAGAAGTTAAAGAATGAATCGTTCTTGGCTCTAGAAATTGACCGTGATTCGTGTCCAGCCAACAACGTCCCTGACCCCAGTAACATGTACTAGAAAATAGTGCGAGAAGTAATATTGTACAATACACGCTTTATTTTATTTTATTTTTTTTTTTACCACAATTGTACAATTATTTAGGTTAATTACATGTTAACTTAAAAAGGGTAACTTAAAAAGCATTAATTTAAATTCCTTACCATGGTCTTTGATGTAAGAAATATGATACTAGAAAGGTCAGAACAAAGAATGGTGGAGCATTAGGAAAAGGGAGTAATAATAAAGGAATAAACCAACGCATGCAATACATGGTTGATAAATGAATTGATAACTTCACAGGTAAAGTTTTTTTTTTTGCGATCTAATTATATTTCTTTAGCAGTAGTGAGTTGATATCTATTGGTAAATTTACAATAAATATTAGCTTTCTAGTTTCAATCAAAGGTAATTCGGGATTTAGTATTTGCTGATCTGTTTTTATAATGTTCAACTTCCAAAAGATAATTTTCTTTTTTATTTCTTTTGATGAAAATCTAAGGTAATGAATGAGAGAAAGCGTTGGTTTTCGAATATTTGTAACACGATGAATATATGAATATAACGGGATGTTTAACGATCTCAGGGAGACAGACGCGATCCAATCATATGATCGATCTCAATCTAAAGGATCGATCCATCACGTGATAAATCAACTAATTAAGATCCGGACTCAAGTAGCATAGCGGACATCTCGATTTTATCTCGATCACCTGTCGATCATTTATTCTGCTTTATTTTTGTTATTTAGCTCCGATCGGAATATCAATAATATAAACTAAATATTTTATACATAGATTTTATCAAGCAACGAAATATCAATTTTTATCATTATATTGAGTGACTTTTATTAGAAGTAATGTTTTGCAATACACATATATAAAGTACCGTTATCAACTTTTTTTTAAATTAATGAAAAAATTCTGCGCTAAAATTTTGCAGATATATGCATACTATCTTTAAGTACTAGAATAATAATTTTTTATATTTATTAAATAAAATTTGTCGTGTACAATTTTTATGTAAAATATACAGTATTATAGCAAATACTGAAGATTTACAAAACTTGAAATTTCTAGCATTGATTAATAGTATTTCAATCTATTTAAAATGAAAATATAATGAATAAATTTATTATATAGATTAAAAGCTAATTTATTTAACAAGATTCATTTTTTTAAAAAAAAATTGTTGTAAATAGCAAATAGAGAGTTCGCCCACTTGATAGTATATGAAATTTTGGCCCAAAGCTAAAATTTGTGATTTATACCATTTAACACTAAACATTCAAATTTAATAGATTATAATAATATAATTTTTACCCAGTTTCGATAACATATGATTTACGAGCCTTTTCCATTTCAGGTTTAGTAATAACAAAACTAAAAATAGGAAAATATAATTCTCTTGTTTTGGACGCGAAAGGAATCTAAGTTTAAGTTATAATAATACCTAAAAATAATTAAGTTCTTTTAAAGGTGTTTAATAACAAATTTCTACCATAACAATTCCGAATTAGATAATTTCCAAGAGATGAGACTGAGTAAACATGAATGAGCTATAATTAACTAAATCCTTATTATCAGATTGAAGATATATTTATTCTTTCATTCATTTGGAGTGTACGATTATAACCTTGTTAAAAGACGTTTTAGAAGTGCATCAGCCAAATTTATTGAAATGTGTGGCACATTATCAGGCAAAATTGCATTACATGCCAGAAATCGAGTTCTTTTAACAAGGTTCTTTGAGAAGGACTTTGACCTGTAATAAAGAAAACAGAGTTCAAAAAATTTGACTCACATTGAACATGATATTTGCAACTTATCATGAAATGAACCTATAACTAGTAAAGCAAAAAAGTGCTCAGAGTTATGTTAATGCTGGCCAATTACTAAATATTGGTAGGTTCTATGAAATCGTTCGATATCACGTGAAATATAATTCCTACTAAACCCAAATGCCAATGATGGACAAGGTGGTTTGCTTATAATGCATTCAATTTAAATGTTACGCAAAAACCAGTCTCGAATTTTAATTTTTTTTAGTTTAGATTTTTCTTTCAAAACAATTGGAATTATGGAGAATATAAACAATTGTTAAAAAATATTTGATTATTTCCAAAATGATGCTTCTTTCAAAAAAAAAAGGTTCTAACTCTTTTTGGAATTGATTCTTTGTTTGCTTATATGCACGTCTGAAATGTAAGTTTCCAATAGGCCTGTTTGCGGTGATTGATTTGAATTGGTCAGATCTCTTTGTATCTCTTTGTGCACTTGTGCAACTACAAACAAAGGACAAAATATTTTTGACTAAATATTTTTTAGCGTCAAAGTTCGAAATCAATAAAACGGAGGGACCAATAAAAACAACAAAGATGAATTTTTTAGAAGAAATTGTTTTTTCGCGTCTTTTCTACGCGCGTTTATTTTTATTTTTTTTAAATAATATAATATAAGAATAAAAAAAAAAGGGTACAAACTAGTATTATTGGCTTAATTTGGGTGATACAAAAATATGCCAAATAAAAATTTCGTTTTAGAAATGATCGCAGTCCCTGTCGTTTTTTTCCTTACGAAAATTTTTTTTTTAAAAAATTAAAGATTAACGAACTGATACTTTGGACCTTAAATGTTCTGAATAGTTATATCAAAGTTGATGTATATAGCAACTAAGGAAAAAAATTTTTTTTATCCCTTTTCCTTTGTGTGTTTTCTATAAAGAACTCCAAAAAGGAGGTTTGGCCCTTTTTATGCGCCACATAAATCGAACAATATTCTCGGTGTAACCTGGCACAGCGGTGCACGGTATATAAATTCGATTCAAAAAAGCTTCGCTTTCATTTCATTTTCATTATTATTATAGGCATTTACGTTTTTAAGTTTTTCTGTTTAAAGAGCTAATTATATTATTATTGGCATTATTAATTGTCCTAGCTTTCAATTATTTCGAGAGCACAGAGGACTAATTTATATTATTGCTGGTTATTAAAAACCAAATTGGCATATTAAACCAGATTTATTGCTTTTATTGTCCTAGAGGGATATGCAAAATTAAGATTTGAATTATAGCAAAAAAAATAGTTGGGAATGACAACATTGGAATATCATAAGAAATCCTCCTACTCTAAGATGCCAAACCAAGCTGACTCTATTAGTTCACCATTTTTCGTCGAACCAAAATTATATGTAACCGACTTTCACTACAGTGTTAGCGAAGAAGATTTAAAAGTCCCTTTTAAGGATGTCGAACTCATAAGGTTGCTATACCGTTGATTACTTAAAAGTTGTGATTTACGTAATCTGATAACTTTTTTTGTGATTCTTTTACAGTGTAGAGATCCGTAATACGACCCCTATATCTGCTGTTCTCAATTTTGCCACAATTGATCATGGTATCGTATATCTAAAGCTCATAAATAATGTAAAAAAGATTCACGTTTCTTTTTTGTAAAAAGTTTTGTTATTGATCAACTTTCTCATCTTTGAACTTTTCACAGCCGAAAAGGCATTCGCTATCTACAATAACAGCAAGTTAGAAACTTATCATAATAAGACTTATTTAAAATTATTAATTAATGATCCTGCTAACGCTTCACACGTGAATGAGCCGTCATCTAATGCGTACATTTTGCAGGTTAAGCAGCTGGATATAAAATCAACAACCAACTTCACATTATATGACGAATTTAGAAAGTTTGGTCCTTTGTTCTCTTGCAGGTTGCAATATCAAGATAATAAGTTTAGAGGATATGCACTTGTTCAATTTTTCAAACAAAGTGACGCCGAGAAAGCCGCAGAGACTATGGTAAATACTCTCACATATACGTATATATAACACATATATTTATTTCTTCATTTCTTTATATGTATCGTTTTGGCCAATCAAAATCATAGGTTCTTAAAACTAATAATGCATTTTATAACATTCAAACTAGCACTATACAATGTTAGGGGGCAGAAATATGTAAGTCCAATATTTAATGATAAAAAAAAAAATTTTTTTTTGATACATCTAAAGCTTATAATGATGTACCTTTTTTTTATACCTTATAGCCAAGTTCAATTTCATACCAAGAGCAATAACAACAATAATAACGTGCCTAAAATTCGCACAAATGTTGCTAATCACGGTAACAACAACCCTCCTGGCTCTGTAAGGATACAAAATCCACTTGCAAATATCAATTCAATTTATAAATTATTTGATCATTAACAAATGAGATTTATTTATTTATATTAGGGACACATATATTCACCTCAAGGATCTAGTAACAACAATAACAATAATTATAATCATAACCAAGCAGCTCCAGCGTCACCTAGTCCTGAAGCTCCGTTCGTAGATCCATGTAATTTATTTATTAAAAATCTTGATGCCAATATTTCCAGTAGCGATTTATTCAATCATTTTAGAAAATTTGGTCGTATTATCAGCGCACGTGTCATGAGAGACCAGGAGACTGGAAACTCAAAAGGCTTTGGTTTTGTTAGTTATACTACTGCTGAAGAAGCTGATAAAGCGAAGAGTTCCATGCACGGAAAGACCCTTGGAACCAAGCAGATTGTTGTTAGGCTACATGAACCAAAGAAGTTGCGTGAGGCAAAATTGGCTAATCATTTCAATGGCAGTCCTGCTTCTCCATCTGAGAGTCGCGCACCTTCCAGGCGTAATTCAGACTTTTACAATATTAATACTATTAACGAATTTGGTCAGGAAGATCTTAGCGGGTTGGCTCCAAAGGCCCGCAGAGAGGTTTTAATGTCTGAATTACAAAAAAGATTCAAATCCATCCCCAGTGTTCCATCCGAAGAAGTTAATCCGATTATTGATCATTTGTTAAATTTGAAGGTTACCGATGTTCTTCTAATCCTTAAAGATGCTCCGCTGTTGCAACAAAAGGTTAAATCATTATTGTAGATTAATCCTTTATTTTTGTAATTCATTATTAAAAAACATGTATAAACCTGTATTTCTTTAGATTGCTGAAGCCAGAACCTTCCTTCACGAGAGGAAACGTCGTGGTGTTAATGAGGGAACAAGTCTCAATCTTGCACCGACTTCAATCAACAGTAATATTAGTAGTAGTAATGGCAACAATAATAATAACATTGTTATGAATAATAATAATGTCACACAAATTCCACAAAGGGAAAAATTCCTTAATGTCATTAAAAATGTTTGTCCTCGTAACTCTGCGGAAATTCTTGACCTACTCATGACCTTAAGCGCAAAGGAAAGGACGCTCTGCTACTTCAATGCCGAGTATCTTCACAATAGAATCGTTGAAGCCAATTCAGCATTGGAAGCTGTCCTTAACGACGATACTAGCACGACATTTTCTACTCCTAAGCCTTTGATTTCTGCTGATATCACTCCAGTTTCTACACCTCCAACATATAAATCTATGGAACCTATGGTTCCTCATTCTGTAAGATCACCTAATATATCAGAAATTCCTGCTTCCATTAGTAACGGAATTCATACTCCTGAATATAAGGAAATCGAAGATTTTATGGATAACCTTAGGAACAAACCAATTCATGAACAAAAACAAAAGCTTGGCGATAGATTATTCCCCAAAGTCAAGGTAAATTTTTTTGTTTTGCTGTTAAATATGCAATTCCGAACGTTATTAAATGAAAATTTTTTTTTTATGTTTTTAACAGAGTATTGGGCTTAAGAGTGCTACAGCTAGTAAGGTCACCATCAACCTTCTGGACACTGATAATTTACGCGAATTGGCTCATTCTATGAACGATCCGGAAAAATTCAGAGAAAAGGTCGCAGCTGCCGCAAAGAAAGTTGTCTCTTCTAAGTAAACTTGAAGTTGTATTAAGGTAAGGTTTGGTACATAAAAAAAAGCCTAATGCATTTGTTGAATAAATTTTTTTGGTGTTAAATTTTTAATTCGAATTCATCTTTATTAGCAAAGATTTCAACTCAAGTGAATTATTATTATTATTATATTGATATGGCAAAAAAAAAAACAAAAAAAAAAAAAGATTTTCCAATGATTTATTCCCCTATTTTTTATTATTTAAATTTATTAAACGATTAAATCGATATGGAAATTTTATTTTAGATTTAATCAATATATTTGCATTGAAAATTTTATTTCGATTTAATCAATATACTTCTACTGAAATTATTTTTAGCGTTGAAAATTTATATTTAACGATTTCGCGCTCTTATATTTTTCCACTCTTTATTTTTTTTTTTTTTTCATATATTATATATATTACCTCTCGATATAGCGAGAATTTTTTTTCAAAATTTCGTCATGGAGGTTCGGTATATCGAGAGTTGACTGCAAATTAAATTTTATTTTTTTTTTTAAAAAAAAAAAAGGTGGAAAAAATTGAATAAGTTAAGATTCTTCGATTATTTTTTTTATATAACTTTTTATGTTTATTATTTTATTGAACAAAAAAAAAAAAAGCAAAAAAAAAAAAATTATTTTTATTTTTTATATATTGATTAAATATATATACCATATATGATATTTCCAAAAAAAATCTAGTGCCTTTTTTTTGTCTTGTTTACTATTTGTTTCTCTTTTGATTAAATATATAGAACGTTTAAAAATGTTCTTTACTCAAATAGATTCTACTGTAGACGATATATTATTTATATTATTGGTATTATTACCAATTTATTTCCGTCAAATTACAAAATTTACGGTTATTACAACCTCCCTACAATTCCGAATATCCACATGTATATGTGGAAAGAGATAACCCTTGAAGTCACAAATTTAGGTGATAATAATGTGTCTAATTAATTTAAAACATTTATGTCCGCAATAAATTGGCTTATCACATGATGAATAGAGATCAATCTTATACGTAATACTATAAAACAATACTATTATAAATATTGATTACCAACAAAGTTAACCTGCGCCAACTTGTTCAATCACGCAATTTTTCATCGAATTACGATATTATTATGTTATTCATCATATACAGTATATTATATTTCTAGAATGATTACAAATTAATGATGAAAAAATTATAAATACTCGAAAAATTTTCATATATTCTGCAAAAGAAAAAAAACAAAAAGAAATATCCAAATACCAACTTTGAACTCGAAAACCTTTTTTCATTTTGTAAAACAAATAATTCTTTTAATATGAGCCCAAATATTGCATTAAATGGTGATAATAATTTAAAACAAGAGATTAAAGAATTGGGATTTGGTACAAGAGCTATTCACGTAGGACAAGAACCTGATCCAAATACGGGAGCCGTCATTCCAGCAATTTCCTTATCTACAACATATAAACAATCTGCTATCGGCGTTCACCATGTAAAGTTCTCTTTCGCTTTCCCCTCCTTTCACTTTGATGAAAAAAAAAAACTCACCTTTTGTGGTTACCTTCCTTTTAGGGTTATGAATATTCACGATCTGATAATCCGAATCGAAGCAAGTTTGAACAAGCAATCGCATCACTTGAAAAAGGAAAATATGCACTTGCATTTTCTTCGGGAAGCGCAGTAACGGCAACGATAGTGACATCAATTGGGACAAATGGGCACATCGTTTCTGTAAGTGATGTGTACGGAGGAACGAATCGATACTTCTCCAAAGTAGCAGATACCCAAGGAATTGAAACGACATTTGTTGATTTACATGATCCACAAAATCTTAAAGATGCTTTTCGATTCAACACAAATCTTGTATGGGTTGAAACCCCAACCAACCCAACTTTAAGTTTAGTCGATATAAAAGCGGTTGCTGAAATAACCCATCAACATAATGCAATCCTTGTGGTGGATAATACATTTATGAGCCCATACTTTCAAAATCCCCTTGAATTAGGGGCGGATATTGTTGTACATTCTGTCACCAAATATATTAATGGACATTCCGATGTCGTTATGGGTGTTTTTATAACAAACAATCAAGAAATTCATAATAAGATCAAATTTTTACAAAATGCTATTGGAGCCGTACCATCGGCATTTGATTCTTGGTTAGCGAATCGTGGATTGAAAACACTTCATTTACGTATGAAACAACATCAAGAAAATGCTTTAAGAATTGCTAGATTTCTACAAGGGAGTGATAAAGTTGATCAAGTTATTTATCCTGGTTTAGAAAGTCATCCACAACATTTATTGGCCAAAAAGCAAGCCAGGGGGTTTGGTGGAATGTTAAGTTTTAAAATAAAAGGTGGATTTAAAGAAGCGAATACTTTCTTACAAAATACCAAATTATTCACCTTAGCCGAGTCACTAGGAGGTGTAGAAAGTTTAGCTGAACATCCAGCAAAAATGACACACTCCGGTCTTACTCAAGAGCATCGTAATGCTGTCGGTGTTACCGACAATCTAATAAGATTATCTATTGGTATTGAAGATGCTGAGGATTTGGTAGGTCATCTTTAATTTTGAAAGTGTGAAAACAAGAAAGGTTTTTCTCTAACGCTGATGAAAAATTATCTTTGATTAATTTTGTAGTTGGCAGATATTCAACAATCATTAGATATTGCCGTAGAGAATTAAGCAAATATATATAAATCTTTATTATTTATTATTTTTAATTTCTGTAATCTTTATAATTATAGAACTGTAACATTTTCATTTAAATCATTTTAATAATTTGTAATATACCATTACAATCCAAGTTAATACAACGTAAAAAACATTAAAACAGATTTTAAATGTATCGAAAGCACAATTCATCTTAAACAAATAAAAATATTAACACTATCAATTAAGAAAATTTTAATACACGTGTATTACGATATATCTAATATTAACAATAGTAATATTGAAAGATTAACCATAAAAATAATAATATTTTATGTTTTAAGACATTAAGTAAACTTACTATAGGATCCGGTTTTTACTTCTACTTTACCAAAATTACCAAGATACAATTCAGAGGCAAAAGAGTATTTTCCTACCATGACCGAAGAAAATAAGTGTTAAATAGCTAATTAATGTATTGTATTATAGATGGTATGCATTACCAGAAACTTATTGTAAAGTGTAACAAATATGTTAAATTAGTTATGTTGGTGGTAATACTGTATCAGTTTAACCAACTCTTATCATATCTGCTTCATTTATATATTTTAGCTTTGCAAAATTATCAGAATTTATAATAATATATGTCATTTGTTACTAATATAGGTTAAAATTTTAGATGTGTCTAATTTCTAAATTTATAGCAATTTAACCCCTATATTTAAAATTTATCAAGTAAGAGATATCATTTAAATAAATGGTATTACCAATTTTTTAATGCTAATATATAATAACTAAATTTATGATTCCTATTATAATGAAATTTATTAGATATAATAGTTGGTAAATCAATTAATTTCCAAAATATTTAGGATTATATTATCATTTATATAATTGAAAGAAATTTAATTTCTCATATTATGAATCACTTATATATTAAAAAAATATTAAATAAATATATTTCATACTAATAAGTTATAAAATATAAATAGATAAAATTTATACAGTTATTTAAATTTTATATTAATGACATTTAATATAATAATGTTCATCTTTATATAGTTCTTCTATATCTTTCTTTTTATCATAATCTAGTTTACAATGTTTTAATTAAAGATGATCACCGCAATTAAAAAAAATGGCGCAATTGAGTTGCAACTTGTGACGCAATTAAATTTCCTTATGGCGCAATTAAGTTGCAACTCAATTGAAATTTGAAAATAATTATGAGAACCATCTTTAGTTTTAATAATTCTATAATAATCAATATTTTTCCAACTAAATTTTTTATATAAATTAGAATATTACTTTAATATTTTACATAATTTAAAAAAATACTTACTTAATCTTCAAATAAATATTTGATATTTTTATTTATTATATCTTTAAATTAAAATGAGAAACAATATAATAAAAAGTTGTTGAATTACTTTCTTTTATTTTTAAAATTTTAGTAATATAATTTTAATTATTACTGTTAGTGACAATTTATAAATTATTATAATCTTTAATATAATTTATAATATTTTAAATTTAATGTTGATTCATTTTAAAAATATTATAATTTTAATATTATTTTCAAATAATTAAAGAAATGTTTTAATTCTATTAATTCAAATCTAAGCAATATTAAATAAATATTTTAGTATTTCTTTATATATATTCTTATTATCTTTTTTTTTTTATCTTTCTATTTGTTGTCATATTTTATTTTAGTTTTAAAAGAATAAGTATAATATTTCTTTTATATTAGATTTGATATCCTTTTAAAATTAATAAGTTAAATATTAGATAAAATTCTTAATTATGTAAAACTTTTAATTATTTTTTATAAAAAAATTCTATAATAGTAAATTATAAAATCTTACTTTAAAGATTATTTAATAATTTAATTTCTATCAAATATAAATATTTTATTAAATAAATTAAAAAATATATGATTTGTATTATTATTAATATTAACAGTTTTTATATTATATTCTAATTTCAAATTTTAATTATTATTATTAATAATAGTTATATATTATATAATAAATTAGATTACTTTGATAAATTATATCTAAAGATAAGTCTTAATTATAATACAAATATATAGATTTATATTATATTTATAATAGTTTTTTCTTATTTTTTTCTTATATATATTGAATTCAAAAAATCATTAATTATTTAATTTATGGTAATTTAAATTCTATACAATATTAGTTAAAATCAAAAAAGTAGATATGGATAAATCAGTTTAAAATTAATAAATCTTATAAAATCAGCTAAAATTTAACCTAGCTGATTAATATACTTTAAGAATCAGTTAAAATTTAATTTATCTTATTTATAGCTAATTA